TATGACAATAACATTTCGGGGGCAAATTTTTTTAAATGCGACAGCTATAGTGGGTTCCGAACAGATCGTAATAGACAAATAAATAATGTGCCGTTAGAAACTGAAAAGTAAACAGAATTTTTTTTAATTCTAAAGATTTTACGATAAAATTTGGGACATCTTAAAATCAATATTAAAGAATTTTGTTATTATACCTCTTTCAAAATATACATGTAACATTAAACCTCATTATGATTATGATCATCATTATTTAGTTTCAAAAATACAAAGAAGTATGAAACACAAATACAAAAAAAAAAAATATCAAATAACAATCTATTTCAACAGTAATACAGAAATTTTTTATGATAATATCAACACACTTTATGAAGCCCAAAAGACTAAGGGCACTACAGAGAACCAATCTACATGTATTATTATCATACATAAATCTATACATGTATATATAATTACGAATCAGAATGAAAAGAAGTTTCGTTTTATTTTTTTATTCTGAATCTCCCCTTCCCTTTAACTAGCAAAAGCAATCATTTAAATTCTAAACAACTTTAAATGTTTCCTTCCTGAAATTCTTCTTTTCTTTCATCACAAAAATCACCACAAAATATGTACCTTAAAAGTTCTACATGAAATATTTTGAAACACTACTTCCACTAATAACAATAAAAAGACATAAATTCCTCCTATATGTCTTTAATTACAAATGATCAAATATCCTAAAAGATAGCTTTGTAGGACACTAAATCTATGGACATTTGGCAGATGATAACTTTGTAGGACACTAAATCTATGGACATCTGGCAGATAATTGATCTTTTGGTAAAGGTATACTAAAAGATTATACAATCCTAAAAGAATGTGGTATATAAGGTAAAAAGTCTGATTATGAAGAAATAAAATAATGATTTATTGTTAAGGCAGCTTACCTTTTTGTGCTTTTCTACGGTCAAAAGTAAATTAAAATATTGTCATTCCTGTGGTCAAAAACTAAATAAAGATTCCTAAATGTCTACCTCCAAAATTATATAAAGATACTGTTACTCTCTCCCTCTACCTTCATAAGTATATAATAAACTGTTATCACAGAGATATGTCTCGCCTTTTTATAATTTTGATAATGCAACTGTTGAAATTAAAATAGCAATACTTTAACATGTAAGTTATGCAAATATTCAAAGTTGATGAACCATGACTGAAGGTACATGGCTAAACAATCTCCATGGAATGAGATGTGCCAATGCTAAAACAACTGCATACCAAATACCATTGACTTATTATAAGTCGTTCCCTTTAAACAAACCTAAACACAAACATTAACTTGTAAACTATGTAAAAGTTTCAAAGTCAATGAACCATGATCAGGGGTGGGGCTATATAATCTCCATGGAAACGATACTTGCAAATGCCAATAAATTTGCATACCAAATATCATTGACTTAACATTAGCAGTTCATCTTAAACTGATCTAATCACAAACTAATATATGTAAACTAAGCAAAAATTTCAAAGTCAATAGACCATGACTGAGGTGGCGGGGCCAAATATTCTCCATGGAAATGAGATGTGCTAATGCTTATACAACTGAACACCAATTAACATTGGCCTACCACTAATGGTTCCCCTTGAACTGACCTAATCACAAACTAATACATGTTAACTTAGCAAAATTTTCAGTCTATAGACCATGACTAAGGGGGCAGAGCCAAATAATCTCCATGGAAATGAGATATACCAATGCTTAAACAACTGCATACCAAATATCATTGACCTAACACTAGTGGTTCCCCATAAATTGTCCTAATCACAAACTAATACATGTAAACTATGAAAAGTTTCAAAGTCAATAGACCTTGACTGAGGGGGCGGGGCCAAATAATCTGCATGGTAATGAGATGTGCCAATGCTAATACAACTGCATACCAAATATCATTGACCTACCACTAGTGGTTCACCATGAACTAGACCTAATCACAAACTAATACATTGTTGACGCCGTCGCCGACACCGGAAACAGCATAACTATGTCGCTTTTTGACTCCGTCAAGGCGAGACAAAAATATGATTTCATAAAGTTTCTACATGGAAAAGTTATTATTTTATAAAATCACAGAAATATTCTTTCTTTTTTTCAAGTACACTGTATGAATGAGTGTGTTTACTTAAATTTGAGGGAAAGGAGGCATAACTCATAGAACTAACAGCAGAAGATTAATAACTTCATTCTAAACAATTAAAGTAGCTGGTGTGTCTTCCTCCATCTTTGATTTTGAAATAGCAGATAGCAATTGGTTTAGTGTTTATTGTTACTGTGACTTGACTGTTAGTGTTGCTCTCCACCTATTGCAACTTATTCAAAATTCTGACCAAATTGCAATTTGTTTTATAAAACCAAACTGTTCAACTGGTCAGAAATTTGAACAAACTGCTGTAGAAACCCACAGTCAAGTCGTGAAAGTGCAAAGTGATAAAATAAAGCATACTTAAAATCCTATAAAACTTGTATTCCACTTCAATGTTATTATGAAAAATCAATCTAACAGTTTGTATAGAAATTTTATTGTTATTGTCATGCTAAAGGTGATGGATAGAAATTTTGAATTGCTATAAAAATGTCCAAACTAAGCTTTCATACAATTTTTCTTTCGAAAAGTCTTCTATATTCATAAGAATCAAGACTTTTCAAAAGAAAAATTGATTATCTCCCATGGAAACTTCCTGACAACGTATTGTAATTTCACACATATTTTACTGAATATAAAATGTTTTAATTCAAATGATGTCTGATTTTTATGAATATAGAAGACTTTTCAAAAGAAAAATTGTATGAAACCTTAGTTTGGACATTTTTATAGCAATTCAAAATTTCTATCTATCACCTTAAGCATGACAATAACAATAAAATTCCTATACAAATTGTTAGACTGATTTTTTATAATAACATTGAAGTGGAATTAAAGTTTTATAGGATTGTAAGTATGCTTTATTTTATCACTTTGCACTTTCACGACTTGACTGTGGTTTTCTACAGCAGTTTGTTCAAATTTCTGACCAGTTGAACAGTTTGGTTTTATAAAACAAATTGCAATTTGGCCAGAATTTTGAATAAGTTGCAATAGGTGGAGAGCAACACTAACAGTCAAGTCACAGTAACTGGATATACACAGGTAGGTTCAAATTTGTCAACACCATATTTTATATTACCTTGAAGGTTACATCATTAAGTCCTTAAAAAATTAAGAATTTTCTTATCTTTATTGATACTGGAGTAATTCTAAAATGGTGAATACACAATATACATCAACCAAGAAGGCAGGTTTGACTGAATTTTGTCTCTATTATAATTACCTCAGGATCCATCCTGCCATTTACCATTCTACCGTTACCAAAATCAATGGGACAGAGGAAATCATCTGCTTCAGCATCAGACTTACTCCTCTTGTGACCAAATATACCATGTTTCTTTACCTAAAAAGTAGTTTTATACATGCAATTAATTCCATTCTTATTCAATTTTTTATTGCCATTTATTGATTTAACAAGAATGTGTCCATAGTACACGGATACCCCACTCACACTATCATTTTCTATGTTCAGTGGACCATGAAATTGGGGTCAAAACTCTAATTTGACATTAAAATTAGAAAGATCATATCATAGGGATCATGATTGGACTTCAACTTCATCAAAAATTACCTTGACCAAAAACTTTAACCTGAAGCGGGACAGACGGACGGACGAACAGACTAATGAACGGATGCACAGACCAAAAAATATAATGCCCCTAGGTGGGACATAAAAATAACAAACAATTCATGATAGACCACATCTTTGAAATTGGTGTTAAACTTATTTCCAAAAACCTCACAATTCATCATTTATTATGTATACTCATCTGGTGTCAATTAAATCATTAAACAGTTTATTTAACTTGTCCAAAGAACAATATCATTTTTACTATTTCAGAAGACACCTTTAAAAGTAAAGCAGATATGGGTACCAATTTTTCTTGATTTAATGTGTATAGGCAAACCATGAAATCAAATGTTCAAAGAAGTATACATTTATCTGTAGTTTTGTATGTAACTTTGACAAAATCAAGTTTTCATGAAAATACAATTTTTAATCAATGAACTAATAAAATGCTCCGCTGGGGCGCAGCTTGATACGACCGCAGAGGTCGAACCCTGAACAGTTGGGGCAAGTATGGACACAACATTCAAGCTTGATACAGCACTGAATTTGGATTGTAATTAAATATTTGACACAGCATAGGTTTCTGACACAGAATGAAAGTGGTCTAAGAACTTAAAAATTTTCAATTTACCTATTCATACATGTGATGGACTGTGAAACTCAGATCAGGAGATTGGGAAATTTTGGTCAGGAGATTAGGACTCAGATCAGGAGGTTTTTAATCGACATTAATTTTGTTGTAAATGTAACCGTGTGCTGTAAAAATGGTCTTTTAAAGTGTGTTTTCTTCAACTTTCCAACCAATTTATTATGTTTATAGTACCCTTGTACTTATAAAGTTTCTCCATCTTTATATTCTACATGTTCAATCTAACATTGTTTTTTTCCAGTATGTTCTTTAAATTTTTTACTTCATATTCTATAAAACAATCATTGCAACCAGAACATTTGTTTAGCTGTCTGCAAATAGTTTTTATTTTATTTTTTTTTCTCTTGCAAGTAGTTTTTATTTGCAAACTCAGAAATTCATTCTATCTGTAAAGTTAGGGTCATAGTTATTATATAAATTTCAATTTAAGCCTTAAAAGGAAGTATAGAATCCTGAAATAATTTTCAAATTATTATTTTTTTATTTGTCCTAAGACATTTAAAATCATTCAATAACCATCCTTTTATGATTATTTGTTTAATTTATATTTTATTTATATTCTTTTAAAAATTTTCATTATTAAAAGGAAAGTAACTTAAAACAGGATAAATCAAGGGAAGTAACCCAATAAATACACAGTTTTTGTTACACAACGGCAGTTAGCCTGAGGTAAAAATCGTTTCTTACCAGTATGTTTGACACCCAAGCTGACAAGTGAAGCCATATAATTATGCATGTTAATTGATTTACAGGTAAAATATAACTTCAGGTAATGTCAGTTACACCAGATGCCTGAGATGTTATGTTGGGCAGAAATTTTTCATTCATGAAAAATTTCATACACGGGATTTTTTCAACGGGAGGGGGGAGGAGACCCCTGAAAACGGGATTATTGTACTCCCGTCGGGAGGTTCACATGTATGCCTATTCAAACCATATCATTATTATTTGCTTTTATATATAAATCAGAAATAACCAATTTAAAATGGAAAATGTTAAAGAAAAAAAAGGAAAAAAAAAATCCCCCCCCAATTTTTTGAACCCCCTTATGATTCATCGCCCCCAAACTCAATCCCAGCTTTCCCTTTGTGGTATGGTACCTTGCAGTACAATTTCAGAGAGATTCATACACTTGAACACAAGTTATTGTCTGGAAACTAGAAAAATGCTTGTTTTTTGGCCCCTTTTTGGCCCCAAATTCCTAAACGTTTAGGGCAATTACCCCCAAACTCAATTCCAGCTTTCCCTTTGTGATATGGAACCTTGCAGTACAATTTCATAAAGATCCATACACTTACACACAAGTTATTGTCCTGAAACTAGAAAAATGCATGTTTTTTTTGCCCTTTTATGGCCCCTAATTACTAAAATTTTGAGGGAAAACCCCCAAAATCAATCCCAGCCTTCCCTTTGTGATATGGAACCTTGTAGTACAATTTCATAAAGATCCATACACTTACAAACAAGTTATTGTCATGAAACTAGAAAAATGCTTGTTTTTTAACCCTTTTTGGCCCCTAATTCCTAAAATTTGGAGACAATTACCCCCAAAATCAATCCCAGCATTCCCTTTGTGATATGGAACCTTGTGGTACAATGTCAGAGAGATCCATACACTTACACACAAGTTATGTCTGGAAGTTACAAAAATGCTTATTTTTGGCCCCTTTTGGCCCCTAATTCCTTAACTGTTAGTACCATAACCCCCAAAATCAATCCCCACCTTCCTTTTGTGGTATTGAACCTTATGGTAAAATTTCAATGAGATCCATTCACTTAAACTAAAGTTAGAGTGCGAAAACTAATGTGTATTCGGACGACGACGCCGGACGACGACGACGACGATGCCAACGTCATACCAATATACGACCACAAAAATTTTTTTGCGGTCGTATAAAAATTGGCCCCCAGGAAAATAGATGAATCAATAGTATTTCGTGGGTATTAGATTTTGTGGTTTTAACAATTCTATGTACATTAGCCAAAGGAAATTTGTAATTTGATGACTTTGTGGTTCACATACAAAACCAAGAAATTCACAAATATTAGTACTCCAGGAATAACAATGAATAAACAATATACAACTTACTTTAACTTTGGCATTAGGTAACAGTGGAATATATGCAGGGTTAGATTCATGTTCTCTCTTCTTGTGCTGTGTATCGTTGCCTATTAATGCTATAAAATGTGTGTTGAGATGTCTTCGTAATAATGTCTTATTCGAAGGTATTGATAACAACTGGGCAAATAACTCAGCACAAAATCTTGGTTCCAAAACCTGAAAAATAAATCATATCTATATGTTTAACTACTAGTTAAATACAGAAATTATTGAGATATTAAATTATTTTTATAGGGTTCACATATGTTTGTTTTTTTTAAAGTTATTTATGCCTGAAATGGGCATGAAAATCAATAATGATAAATATGACAGCCTGTCTTTAGGATCAAAACATTATTTTTTATTATTGAAATTTTATTTAAGTAGCAAGTCACCAATGGAACCGTAAAGGTTTTGCTATTACCGATTCTTTAATGTGCAAAAATCATAAGGCTTACTGCATTCTATAACCAAGCTTTTTTTCACATTTTACAAGAATGTGAAAGCTTATCTATAGATGCATGTTAAAGATGAATTATTTTTTTTCAAGTAAAGTTCTCATTGTAGCAGCTGTGATTTTCAACAGTAAAAAACAAATATTATTTATTAAAATGCTTAAAAGTTACTGTTCAAATATAATACTACATACCTACAAAATCTAACTAAAAAAATTATTCTGTACAAAATGATAAACTTGATATTTACCATTAAAGCACCATGTACACCACTGCCCCTCATATTTGGAGCATATTCTGACAAATCAATGGTCCGTAACCATTCCATTACTCTATGATTTGTCCATAAGGCAACATCACCAGGGATATTCTGCAAATGACCCTAAAAATTAATAAAAACAAAATAATGGGTTATATAATGGCTTACTTCATCTTACTATTTAAGATCCCCCTTTTTGATTACTTAAAAAAACATGCTTATAGTCACTAATTTCAATTTTCTTCGTGAATTAAAACAACCAATTTTTTACCAAGAGATTACATATTAATGAAACTTTGCCAACTAATCTTGTTTGAATAGGTTTCCCCACTTATTCACTCTCTCTGCTTTGTAATTATTTTAGTATATGAGGATCAATTAACATTTTGACCATCAGTCTCCGCTATCAGATGCTTTACCTTCCTGTAAAGGGAAAGCAGTTTCAATCATTGATATGGGCCACTCCAGAAATAGCTGACAAGATAATAAAGCAATAGGAATTTTGTTTTTATGTTTAGAGAAGAAAGAGGCAAGACTACTAACTCAATACCCATCATGGAATTAAAACGGTTGAGCAGTTTAAAAGACTATTTTTTTACATGAACTCTTCTATTTAGTTCATGTTGTTTTGCTTTACTTATAGAATCTATCACTGCAGCATATGTGATACTATCTCTTATAAAGACAGTTGAACATTTACAAATATATCTGTTGAAAGAGGATATATAACATATTACACTTGTAAGGTTGAGTGATAAAATGGGTTTCTCTTATCATTTTTAGACAATATGTAGACTAATTTTATCTTTATTTTTTCAGTTATCTGCAAAAAGATATGTTCTTTTTATATGATTTCATCATGCATGGTCACCCTTTTTTTGGACGTCACAGCAACAAATTCAATAGTAAAGAAAGAAAATTTGATGTCATCCTGAAATTTTGACCTATGAAGATCATATGTACTACACATTGATTATAAAAAACTATACATTGATTATAAAAAACTAATCACCCAGATGGGGAAATACAATCGTTAATGAATTGGAGAAATAATTAACACCACCTAAGTCTGGTAACTAACCTCATCTGGTGAAGGTCTACGTCGTAGGCACTGTGGATTATAACTATGAGCACGTAAAATCTGAATTCCTCTTCTGATACTGATGTGGTGTAACTCATTGGTAACTTTTAATGCTACTAGATCATCCTGCAATGTAAACCTAGGTCATATAATAATCTCAAACATACTTTTTTCTTATGTAAGTAGCTCCTTCATGAAGACTGATTGTACCTTAGAAACAGAATCTGTATCTTTTTAATTGTATTATACTATATGTACAGGTTAACTGGATCTGCAAGTGTAAGGGTTGGTAAGTAATCTTCAAGTCTGGTTGATTGATAATTGTAGTTGTGGACACAATGTCTGGCAGATAAGACATAAAGATGGAATGACCTCTATGTTGACAGTTAATTAGGTATCTTTAGTTTGCTTTCAATTGCTTTGTTTTGTTTGTTTTTTTGTGTTTGTTCAAGAGTTGAAGGCATTTCTGAACTGATTTTTGGTTTTACATTGTTTTTGTTAAAAAAGGGGGTTTTGTTACTTATCAAAACTAGTTTAACCTCGCTACATATTTATATGCTTGTCTGTAGCCAGGAAACTTATCAGTGGTTATCTTAGGGTTGAGTTCTTTAAATTTTTGGCATTGAATGCAACTTTCGGGTAAATTCTGTTAAAGATGTATACAACTTACATGTATCTAGCTTAGTGAATTAAGAGCTTGGCATAATAATAGAAACTTGTATGATAAGCTCTAGCTGTCTTTTAGTTTTAGTGTGTTGTTAGGTCAATGTCTCCCATATATATTTACTTCTCCTTTTAATCATATGCATACCATGAATTCATTTCAAATTTCATTTCATTTTGGAGATTTGCTGATAAAATCAATATCATTGCTTCAATACTGCTAATATTTATATGATTTTTCTCGAACATTGCAATGCCTTACTTTGATTTTTTCAAATCCCTTTGATCTCATACAGTTTAATATCTTATACTGAAGAGCTATTGTTCAAGATATGAAAATCTCACATCACATTTTACATGGCTTAAAAAGATTGGTCATGAAATCATTGTAATAGAACTAAAGCCATCTCTGTCTAATTTACCAGTACTGTACTTACAATGGTAAGAAAGTGTAGCATTCTGCCATCAATTCTTGCATCATAAAAATAATCTTTATACTGTGGAAGCCCTATATCATCTAACCATCCTACAAACAATATACAATAGATAAATATAATATGTGAATGTAAACATAAGATAAGCCCTATATCATCTAACCATCCTACAAACAATATACAATGGATAAATATAATATGTGAGTGTAAACATAAGATACGATTGATTGATTGATTGCTGTTTGTTTAATGTCCAGTGGTAAATATTTCATGTTAACGATGAGAACAAATTAACAATAAATACAAAAGGTAGGTCCTTCAATAGGGGTCTATAGGAGGCATCAGACTTAACGTCCCCATTCTGACCGGACCAGACACATCCTGCACAGCCAAACTGATGCCCCACTTTGGAATAGGTTTTACTGCCAGTAGGAAGAAGACCAAAAAATACCCCAGTCATATACAATACAAGAATATATTTCCAAAGTACACCATACCCCACTCACACTATCCCTTTACCATGTTCAGTGAACCATGAAAACCATGAAAACTTGGTCAAATTCCTAATTTGGTATATGTTTGAAAAGTTCACATCACAATGAGCATTTGTACTAAATTTCACATTGATGTGACCACTAATGTATGGTTAACAGCATCAAACCAAAACTTAGATATGGGACTGATGGAGGAATAGGCAGACAGACGGGAGATGCACAAACCGAAAAACATAATGCCCTTACTATTATAAGCATAAAAATCCACATTACAGGAATAAACATCAGAATTGTAGTCTCCTTATAAACTTCTGTGACAATATTTAGAAATTAAGGGTTTTACTTCCTTTGTTTTCCTTATTGATCGGATCAAAATTGTGATGTGTTCATATGGGAAATATTTTGTTGTCTGATTGCATTATTATCCGACAATTAATTCCAATTGAAACTTATACTCAAGGAAAATTATGAATTAAAACATTATCCTATGCTGAGCTATTTTTTTTTGTCTTAATACTTGTTTATTTAATATTACAAATTTTTCTATGAAGCAATTAATTTGAAAAAATAATTGTAATACTTCATAAGTTTCAAACATACGTGTGACCCAATTGTGATCCAGGAAGTTGAATTTTTCTGCTGAGTTTGCTGATATAGACTGAAGTGCTAGTTGCAATTTTTTCCGATGCAAGTAATTCTTTATTCCTAATTCCTGAAATAAAAAATAATACAAAAATGACTCTATATCTTTGAATAGTATTGTTATTTTTTTTTA